TTGCATCAGCTGCTCAACTGCCTTGACCGAGCCCAGTGTGCGGGTGGCACCACCGTCCACCACTGCTTTTCCTTGCACCATAGCTTCGTAGGTTGTCGGACGCTCCTGGCCAGACTGGAAGGTGCTTGCGGTCAACACTTGATTGGTCATGCAGATGAAGGGTGCCTGATCTGATGGTGGTTCTTGTCCTGCCACGGTCACGTGTGCTCTTGGCTTCTTGGGGCATTCATCGGTACGATGATTCCCTCCACAGCTGAGGCATTTTGAGCCCGGGGTGGAACCAGCGGTTTCTTTCCGCGCAAAACTGTCACTGCGGCCAGTACCCACAGACCGATGAGGAGGCCCGTAGTACTGACGGCTCAACTTCACATAGTGTTGCTTTGCACGAGCTTCGCCTAGGGTGCGTCGGCCTTTTTCGACCAAGGCTAAAGCCTCTTGAGCATCAGATTCAGCTTCATTGATCAATGCCATCCCATCGGCATTCAATCCAGAGTGAATCAACCAAGCCATGTCGGGGCTATCCTGGTCCTCGGCGAAGGGGTCATTGACGGTGTTTGCCTCGTCGGCCCACCAAGCTGTGCTGCGACTTCCTTGATCCCTTCTCTTGAGATCTTCATTCCATTGGTTACGAAGCTCCTGTGCAACTCTGCTAAGGCTGAAGTTTCCTTTTCAGGGCGGCAATGATCATGTTCTTCTCGTTGGTGTCCAGCCCGGAGTCCTGTAGCAAGAACCAGCCTTGCACAAAATCCGGCAACAATTGGATGCCGGAATGGGGTGCTGACTCAACTTGGGATTGGTCATTGGTAGTTGACCAATCCCATCGTGCTGAGGTGTCTTGCCAGTTCCAAGACCGCTGCCATTGTCGGCCATACCACTGCCTCCATGGATCATCAGAGGCCCACCCGTCTTGTGTACTGTGTTGTTCATAGGTCCCTGAATCTACGGCTCGTTCATCATGTTGGGTGGAATGCTCTGGTTCATCCACTGCGTCCTCGAAGATGGCCTCCTCATCTCCAGCTGGTTGTGAACTCCCTTGGCCATCCCAGGGAAGTGAGGGGCCTGTCGAGGATGATGGGCGTGCAGTGGTTCCGGTCTTGGCACCAGAGCGGCCTTGTGCTCGCTTCAAGGTCATCTCAGCTCTTGCATACAGCTCTGCCTTCCGTGTCACGTATCCGTTCATGGATTCGTTTCTCTTCCTTCGGCTCTGCTTGAAGTACTTGCTCATGAAGTCTGACATCTCTGAGAGCTGCGGCAAACCCAGATGTTGACGCAAATGCGCCAACAAGGTCTGAACCCCACCATTGTGCGAGACCCAGCCTGGCTTCTTCGACAGGACGAATCTTCTGGCCGTCCCTGACAACTCATTGAGTAGTTTCGGGCCACATAGGCACACCATCCTTGCTGCGCTCTATCCGCTCGGACATTTCTTCCTAGGGGAAACTCGCCTAGTAGCTATACAAGTCAAATCCTACAGCCCTTTCGGGCTCCGCTACCATGCAAGCGGGAAGCGGCTTGCAGGGTGCCCAAGTGCAACGAAGGGTCACAAAAAGGTAAAAAGCCAGCTCCCTGGAGTGATTAAATGACTCGGCTGCTGGCGCCACTCTTTTGAACCATGTCGACTGATGATCGGCGAACTGAACATCATGTCCAATTGTGACAATTGCATATAATATATATATATATATGTATGAAGATTAGCAAGAAGCACACCGGATTGGCTACCAATCTTAGCAAAGGTGAGCACAAAAATCGCCTATACCCACTAAAACAATCTAAAACAGCTACGTCTTGAAAAGAGCGCTTGGGTAATTCCAAGAGGTCTATGCATGATTTATATGGGTCTATATCCCTTCGTTGAAACCTTCGCTGATGGACAACCGACCGACCATCATCTGCACCAAACGAGACCAGATCCGCACTGCGGAACGGTATACTTGTCGGTTCGGGGGCCCGACAAAAACGCGAACGTTCAATTTGGTTTAGGGTTTTAGGACCCTGTTGCTGTCTGGGGCCAGAATTTCAGGATTTCTTTCCTTTCAGATGATCCGACTCGTCTCCAGCCTTGCCAAAATGGGTTCGTTCAGGTTCCGAATCATCCCTTCACTGTTTTGACCCTCAAATTCGCACACATAGGGTGTTAATGAGGGTTGTGAGTGTGTGTGTGTGCGAGTGTGGTGAAAGAACTCGGCTTTCGCCGCCGTGCCGGGGGCGAGCCGCCTCCTCCCAGAGGGCACACCGCTCTACCAGGAGTGCGTCGTGTTCCTTCACAGCGTCACTTTTTGCAACTTCCCTGTCTTTCCCCGTTTTCGACAATTTTCCAGGTTTTTCCATTCAACCCAGACGCTCCAAACAGCCCTTGGGTCCCTCAAAACTTTGAGGGTCCAGACCCCTGCATATGAGGGTCCAGGAGCGTCTGGGAAGAAAGTATTTGTTCCATGACGAGGTCAAAAGTCGATGAATCATCAACCCCTGTGTAACTCGGGTGTCGACGCGTTAGTCAACCGATGGTCTTCACCGATTTCAAGGACTGCCACGGCTGGGTGGACGAGCTATGCCTACTTCAGCCGTCATGGGCTTGCAGCGATTGGTGCTGGTATGGAATGCCTTTGCCATTTTGAAGCTTAGACGAAATGAAGGTCTGCCATTGAAGCGGCTGGAACTTTTTCCAAGACCCGATAGAAGGCAAAATGGTCTGTGAGACGCAGAATTGGGTGTTCAGAAACACAGGTGGCTACGGTCCAGCTTGGCAGGTGAACGCCTTTTCATGAGTATGTATCAGTTCCATGCCTTGGTGTAGTGGATGGAATGATCTCACATGTCTCCGCATCGTGAAGCAACTAGCATCGACGGATATCGGCGGATTGATAAACCTCCCAGCAACATTTTGCACCAAACAACCATCCATGCGAGCGCGATTTCAAGAAGACCATGAGCCTTTCAAGAACTGGGTTTGTTCCACTTTCATGTTTCTGAAATAAAGAGGCTACACACACACAGAGCTTCGTGCCGCCTCGCAGACCAGGTTGACGCACAAAGATGGATATAGCTTCACGATGTCCATTTTGGTACACTGTACACTCCCTGAAATAATCGTGGAAGTGGAGAACCACCTGGTTTTAATATGCTTTTATGATAGGGAGTGTACCCCCTACCCCACAAGTCCCAGCTCATGACGAATTTGCCCAAGCGGCTTCCTCTGCTGCACCCACCGGGCCGCATCCGAATCTGAGGAAGGTGACTGCAGTGCTGCAGGGCTCCTTTGAAAGCTCCACCACCCCGCACGGGGGTCAGCTTCGCTGCTTCGTGAGCGCTGGCGGTCGGAGTGAGGATCTGGATGAGGTGAGGCGGTGAGGAGCAAAAGCATCGCGGCGAAGGAGCCTCCAAAAGCGGAGCTGTCACAGCTCTGTGAGTGTACATCAGTCCATGTGGACAAATCGCCGTGTTGAACGAAGGACAAGACGTCCTGGGACAAGACGTCCTGATTTGGGCCGAAAAAGACATTGCGCAGACTGCCGGGAATAGAGTTGATGCCTAAGAGCGTGACTTGCGGGAGTGAGCATGGCAAGAAATCCTCAGGCTGACCGCGTTCGAAGCCAAGGACACTGAAAGTTCAGGAACTGAGCGATGTTCAACCTGTTCAACTGTTCCAGCTGGCTTCCAACTCCATTTCATCTTGATTGGCTCGGATAAATAAGCTATGATAGAGCAGCCGGGGTGGTGTTTTTGCTCTCAGCCTTCTGCTGTGGACAGTGGGTCCCATGCACAAAGAACGCCAGGCACTTCCGCATACTCCAGCGCTGCTCTGAGCGGTTGTTTCCACCCACGGGTGCTGCTTTTCCATCGTGGAATTCAGGCCCTATGCTTGAGTGATCGCTGCAGACGCGTTTGATCAAAAATCAGATGCGCATTTGTCTGCAACACACGTTCTCCCCATGCAGCACAAATCTGTCACGAAGCTTCTCGAATGTGGAAACTCAAACATGGGCTGTGTTTGCCCTAACTTCACACCATAGATCATGGGCTGTGTTTGCCCTAAATTTCAGGGAGTGGATATGAATCGATTCCAAATGACATACCCTAACTTCCATCATGAATCGATTCATCTCCACTCCCTGAAAAGGCCTCATGATGGACCTGGAATCCGTGACGGGTTGTCCACTTCCGCAGGGGGGAGGGCACGACCCACCGGTCCTGGTGGGGCGTCCGGATCGGGTGCCGACCCGTTGGTCCGGTTTGGAGAACGGGAGCAAGTGGAGAACGGGCAAAGATGGCTTTAAGGGTGAAAACGCATGAGAAGGGGGACAGCTTTAGAGGTGGAAACTTGAGAGAATCTGGTCAAAAGACCTATTGGCTTGGAGCATCAACTGTTCTGAGACCCTGGAGTCACTGGGTTTGCAGGCCGAAAACAACTGAAAGTCTTGGCTTGCTAGCTGAGATAGATTTAGAGACCAAAAGCAGTGACATGTTCTTTGACACTCTCAAGCCTGCTTTACTGTAGTCCGTCAGGCATCGTCAGTGCATCGTCAGCTTGGGATGTTTGCACCACTATTCGCGTAGTGAAGACAGGAATTTCCTGGACTTCTTCAGAGTTTGACGTCGAGAAACTGCCTTGTGATCGGATTGAACCTGAACCTCGGTGGGTGGGGAAGGGTTGGATCGACCTGGATGAACATGGCTCCATCCGCCCCGCTCGTGGCTCCAGCAAATCGGCGCGCCCCGTTGCGAGTTGCAGAGTCTCTTGAACTTAGAAAGACCGTCGAGGGTCTACAGTCGAAGACAAGCCAGTTGTTGATGGAATCTTTCAAATCAAGTTCTATACTGAATAGCTTTGGATCCTATGAGACTCTGATTTCTGAACCTGGCATGTTGGCCGAGTTCAGGGTGTTCATAATATATCGAAGCACTTAGAACATGTTAGAACATGTTAGAATACCCTATGGACAGTGAGACAACAGTAAGTGTGAGTGTTCTAATAATTCAATATATAGCAAGATGTGTTATTTTTGGTTGGCCTGTAAATCAACTCAAAGCCCTTCAACACCTCGCTGCTGCACCATACTGTGCTATGGCTTTTGCAGGGAGCATCCAAGATCGCTTGCGTGGCCGGGACGAGGTGAAGAGATATAGAGGATATCCAGTCAATGTCTCCGGCCACGTGGAGAAGCTGCAAGATCCTAGCCGAAAGGCTGAGAAAGCACACTTTTGCAGTTGAGTGACTTCTAACGGCCTCGCACCCATTTCAGGGCCAGACAACGCAAAACTGACCTGGACCCCTATTTCCCCAACTGGCCACAGGAAGGCCTGCCCCCGCTGTAAATTCCAAAGATCTACTTGTTTGATGAGCGTTGGAAGTTCACTCTGCGCAGCAGACCCATCAAATCTCTAATCAGTGGAATGTTGATGAATAATTATGAAGATAGATAGATATATGATATATGCATATATATATAGATCATATACACCCGTCTGGTCCACTGGTAGCGGTGTTTGATTCATCAATGTGAAGTTGGAACAGGACTCTAGCTGAACCACCACTAAGTGATCGGATTTGTTGGCTCCGATCTTCGGTGGCTTTCTCGGTTCTTTGGGCTCTCAGACTGCTGTACTCCTGAAAGATCTGAGGACTATTCCCATTCCTGCCATCATTTGGGAGAGATCAAGGAGCAGCAAAGGCCCGGCAAAGGAAAAGAGATGAGTGATTCTTGACTAGACATCCACCCGTAGCTGCAGTCGAATGGCCGGTAGTTTTCAACCAACTTGAGACCAACCTGAAGAGGTTTCGGTTCACTTTGTCCAGGGTTTTCTCCATCTTGCCTTTGCACAGACATGTCCACTTTGCGACGCCCTCGGGGTGCGGAACGTCCCCCCCGAGTCGAACGAACGCGACGTGAATTCGCTGGAACCGAGAACGGCGGCGTGACGAATCCGGAAGCGTGACCGGCTGGCTGGAGCCAACGGAAAAGCGGTGTGCTCATAGGACCATTTCCCAATCTATCTCGAACTATCTTGACACTCATGGCTGCAGAGCCAGGCCTTTCGGCCTTGCCACTGCTACCTATTCCATGCCCTTTGTCCTTTGGCTCGTGCTGAGGGTACTCGTAGGAACCAGAAATTCCGTCTGGCTTTTTGAACCGCTACGTGGCCCTATGTGAGGCTATCAACGTGGCCCTTTGAGACGCCTCCTGCCGGTAAAAACGGGAAAAGGGTTGAAGAGCAACCCTCGAGTAGATCATCTGGATGGAAACATCATCGCATTTTATTGGTGCAGTCGGACTGTTTCACGTACTGATCAATTATAGTGGATTGAGAGTAGATGGCACAGACCCCAATGTCGGTGGTTTATATGGACCCCTATATAAAGGACATCTTGGGGTCTGTGCCATCGAACCTCTGAAACCACTGTAACAGAAAAACCTCCAAATCCGAACAACATCTCCCTGGAACGCCGCTGCCATCCGGAGGCGCATCGAGGCCTTGGAAGAGAAGCTCCGACGCTCGGACGAGGTGCCGGAGCGGTGACCCGTGGCTTCAGTGGCTTCAGTGCCCCTGGTCGGAGGAATGGTGCGTTGACACACAAAGCATCAGAAAGCATCAAAAAGCGCCAAGTCGGTGCAGAAATGCAGGGTTCTTTGGTGGGGCTTGAGGTTTAGCAATTCTGCACTGAATTGGCGCGAGTTGGTTGGTTTGCTATTTTCTGGTGAAGGATCTTACTTATGGTGGGTCAGTGAGACTAGAGGTTTTTGATGCGTTTGAACCTCCAAATCCGAGAGCCACCAATGAGCGCACCAGTCACGTAGCCTTTACTTCACTCCAATGGGTGCTTAACACCCTGTTATGCCCAGAAATTGACATAGAATATTGTACTATGAACACCTGCAGGAAAACGATGGAAAACCTGTTGTTTGGGTAAGGGAAGCTGTATATAGTTTTCCAGGTAGACATCACCGCAGTCATTGAACATGCGATGGCTGCTGGGAGGCCAAGCTCCAGATGAAGACGGAGATTGATCTTCTCAAGGACTGAGGAACACAGCTCATTGGGCCAAACAGGTGTCCCACTTCTTTTCCTACTTCGCAATTCTAAAAGGCTACAGACGGATGAAGTAGTTCGCAGTATTTCACCCTTCAACGTAGTTCCTTCGAGTTTGAGCTTTGGAAGGCCAAACTCGACGGTGTTGGTGTTGTTCCGCCATGTCCTTCTGTTTGATATACCGGAAAAAACGGGTCTGTCCGGCTTGACCTGTCACAGCCGGTAAAGAAGAACATGATCGGAACCCGAGATCGATCGCCGACACCCGGCGACGGTTGAAGCCAGCGGCACCGGTCACCAGCGTTCCGCATGGTCGGTCGACGTTCCGGGAGTAGGACCGGAACGTCGGTCGGAACGGCGGTGGTCGGTCTTCGGCCCAAACACGTTGGTCTAGGACCAGCTGCAGGAGAAGGAGTTCGTGCAGAAGCGCAATGAAACGATTATCGAGTCCCAAAAGCAACTCGCTGTGGGCTATGTTCCTTTTCTTTTATGTTTTGTCATATTTCACTGCAGCTGCCGAGGGAAGGATTTGAGACGCTGCCCTTGATCCGAAAGGAAGACCAGACCATGAGGACCTGGTTTTGCAAATCATGTGCTTTTATATGTTCAGTTATATAGGTCCCCTTTTTTTATGTTTTCCTGCTTCCATAAGACAATCCAAGTGGGAAGACCATGACGAATGACCAGGCCTCGCTGGATGGCTGATGGGTTTTTTTCCACCGGTCAAGGAACGATTTTCTCAGGTGACGGTGATGGTGACGGTGGTGGGGCATGGCGCATGGCGTGTGGGCCATTCGAAAAGCTGCTGCACACTGCGCAAGGGGGTGTAGTACTAAACTATACTAAACTACATCCGTGTTTGTTGGAGGGCGAGCCTTTAAGCCAAGGCTTGCCATCGCACAGCTTCAATTGGCACTGGGGAATTCCCAACGAGCCGTCGAGAGCATTTTCAATGAGAGCAATGGCCGAGAAATCCAGCGCAGCTTGGCACACAGGACAGAGTTGAGAGTTTCCAAAACGACGTGAAGCATATTGACATATACTTGATATTAAGTATACCTAGAACCTGAATGACCTCTATTTTGGACCACCAACCACCAATTTATAGTCCTTTTTCCATCAAAACAGAGGTCAAATGGGTTCCAGGACGTATTTAAGGGCTTACGCCTGACAGCCGGGCGCCGGCCGGGGCAGGGAGGAGAGAGAAGGAAGGGGATGGGGGGACACGGGTGGGAGACCCCGGCAGCATCCCCCGCGACGCGAGGAGGAGGCCGACTGTCCTGTTGAGGTTGACTCGCCGACATGTCCCCAGACGCGTCTCTTCGCAGCCCCGCAGACACTGTAAAACACATGGTTTTCGCACAGGTTCAATCCAGACGATTCTCTCCGCAACCCCCAAAACTGTGTAACCCCGAAAACACCATAAAGCACATAGAATTTCAGAAGAAAAAGAGCCAGAGAGCAAGCAAAAGAACAAAATGCTAATAATGCCAGGGCACTCGGGCAGCATATCTCGCACCACGGGCCTTCGAAAACGATCTCACATCCATCACCGCATCCATTTCGCAACGTGTTCCCCCAAATTATGTCATCCTATCCGTACGTTGGCCTCTGTTGCGAGGGTTGTTGGCCTATGTTGCCAGGGTGACGGGGGGATGCGTGGCCGGCGCCCGGATTTATATAGAAAGGGCTGACGCCCTGGTGCCGCCGACCCCTATTTTCCAGGAGTGCCCACCTTGTGTGGAACTGAATGGGGGCATGTGGACCAGTGGAGAGAGAGTGCACTCACAGTCCAGCATGTCAGACTCGCCAGCATGTCATCACTCGCAGAAGTGCCGTTGGTGCACTCACACCCTGGCCCTGAAGGCCGCCTGGCGTGCCAGCGTCGCCTTCGGAGCCCCTTGTAGAGAAGGAGGCGTGCTCTGGAGGGTGCCAAAACCTCGATCCCTGAAGGTTTGAACGGAGCAGCGCGCGAGCGCTGCCAGTGTCTAACCTCGCCTTCGGAACCCCAGGCTGCAGGCGTGCTAGCGTCGCCTTCGGAACCCCCTGCAGAGAAGTCCACGGCGGCAGTAGGTGGCAATCGCTTCTCACTACGCTGTCCCGGGCGCCGCCCTGCCTAGGCATCAGCTAGGCAGGGGTCGGCGGATATATATATATATATATTTAATATATATAACATATATATATATAATGTACATACAGTCGTGACAACGATTGGTCCACCCGGGTCCAAAGTGAAGCCTTTTGGCTATTCTTTTACTGGCTGGCAGTGCAGCATATTGAAACCATGTTGGCTTCACTCATTATGCATTCCAAAACTTCTAAGACCTGGTCTGGCTTTTAATGAGTGTGCTATCAGTGCTGTCATGATTTGTCGGTTGACCTAAAAGCACGAGTACCCGCCCGTTGTGAGCCTCAACGTGCAGATTTCGTGGCACGCACCGCACTTTGTGAACCTCAAAGTGCAGATTTCGTGGCAGGCAGAGTGCCTGCCACTGAGGGTGACTCACACTGAGGGTGACTCACACTCGCACTCACTCTCACTCTCACTCTCACTCACAGTCACAGTCACACTCACCACCACCGCCACCATCACCACGACCTCCACCTTCATCACCACCATCACTTTCTGCTACGCCTCTAGACCTCACACACACTGTTTGGGGTCTCTTGCCGGGATAAAATGTACAACGGCGCGCGCCCAAGAAGTGATGAATCATATCGACTGGAACTGACCTATTTCGGTTCGGACATGGGTCTGCTACGAAATCTGCGCTTCGAGGTTCACAAAGTGCTGTGCATCCCACGAAATATGTACTTCGAGGTTCACAAACTGCTGCGCCTGCCACGAAATCTGCACTTCGAAGCTCACAAAGTGCTGTGCATGCCACGAAATCTACACTTCGAGGTTCACTATAGTGCTGCGCCTGTCACGAAATCTGCGCTGCAAGGTCCACAAAGTACTACGCCTGCCACGAAATCTGCAAACGAACCACATGTCCCAAAGTCACGACGATTCACTGCACCTGTCATGAAATCAGAGCGCCCCGACGATCACCACCATGCGTGTCCAAGGTGCTGTGCTTGGCACGAAAGCAGGATTTCGAAGTAAAACCGCTCCGATCCCTTGCACCTGTCATGACTCTGGACCACGAAAACACGAGGTTTCCCATGCGCCTGCCACGAAAAGTGACCATCGTGTCCGAAAATGCGCACGGCACCACAACGAGAGTGCAGTCGCTAGAAGCACCCGCCGCGCCCACGCAGATTCTGCGAGCCTGCGCAGTCGAAGCGCACTTCGAGGATTTCGAGGGGCATGAATGTATGGTAAATAGCAGCGAATCAGCCGCAGACGCCCGCGCGACACAGCGATCTAACACAGGTGCTTAACTACTACCGTAAGAACCCCTAAGTGTGTCCACACTGCCACACTGTTTGGGGAAATAAAGATTCGCCATGACATGTGCTCCAAGACTGGAAGGATTTTGGTCTAGGGGGGCGAGAGCAAGTTTGGAGTCTTCAGCCACAAAGCAGTACATGAGCACAAATGAAATCCCACTTCCCTTCTTCGGCCCCATCGGATCATCACTGCAGGTGAGCTTGAAAACACTGATGCCCAGCTCCGCGACGCCCTCCGCCCCAAGCCCGCGCCCGCGCCGCTCACCACACCGCTGCGCCCCGGTCCGGGGGCGACGCTGCGGCCGTCGACCACCTCGCCCTGGGGTGCTTGGGCCGGGCGCGCGAGTGCGACGGACGCCGAGGACGCCACAGCGTCCGAGGTATCGGAAGACGCGGCGCCCACAGCGAAGCTGTACACGCCGGGGACAGCGACCACGAGGGAGAGTCGCTCGCCTAGCCCTGGAGCTGCCTATTTTTGAGGCCAAAAGGGTGGAATCAAGAGGTGTTCAAAGTGGCTTTATTGCCGAAAGGATCCTTGACTTGCTCCTGGATCGCCTTCATGATGACTTTGAAGCTTTTGAAGTAGGTTAGCAACAGTGCCATGGCATGCCATGGCGAACGGCTCAATTTGGATATTAGGTTTTCACCACTCTTCAGTCTTGGGGCTTCGTTAAAAAACTGGTCTGTGGGAAGAGCTTGGGTCATTGAATTTCAATATGTGGGGTTTGAGAGTTCGAGACTCAACAGTTGTGTCATCGCGATACATGACACATGCAGTGTGCACTGTGCACATAAGTTTGCACTCATGGGCGAAACATCATGACCTCATTCTTCATTTCCAACTGCCAATCTTAGCCGAACCAGACCAAGGCAACTTGTTGCATCTTGTTGCTATTCGAACTGCTTTTCTGGCTTGCTTGAACCAGACTCATGTCGAACATCGGAATCGAATCGAATGCGATCACGGAGGGATTTGAGGAGAGGCTGCATTGGGAGCTGAAGTGCCCCGCCAGTCACTACAGCTTCCATTTCAGCAAGCTTGGCGAGCGCGTGATGCCCAAGGCATGAGCTTTCCTGCGGATCGTCAAAAGAGCGGTGAGTGTGAGGCATCACAGTTGCCGAGTGTCTCCATTTGTGAAAGCGATCTGAGGTCGTTGTCGAGATTTTGGGTACTTAAGTTTAGGGACTTTGGAGAGTACAATTGTGATACGAAGATTATTTGTTTTTGAGGTGGTATACTAGTTTGGAGTTTTTTTTTGGGGTTGCCATGACCAGGACTCATCACCGACCCATCGCCAAAGCTGATCTAGGGGGATGGTGGTTCCTCCTCACCTTCTCTCGCCGTTGCCCCGGTATAGAGACTCTGACTCACTGACATGTTTTTCGTGTTCGTCGGAGTGGGTCAACCATCACGTCGTGGGGCTTTGACGACCAGTCGGCAGCAGTTTCGTTCGTCGATTTCGGCAGCCCTTCGCAGCTTCTCTTCAGCTTTTCAAAGCAATTTGAGAGATCTTGGGAGTCTTCAAAAAGCAGTTGTTCTCATAGCTCTAATGGCATGTTTGGAGCCCATCCTGCTGACTGTGGAGTGCGATCATGGATGATCATGGGAGATTTCGTCCAACATCTTCCAATCTCCGGAAGAATGTGCATACTGGGAAAGGAGTTCTCTTGAAATCGATCATGCTGTAAGTCATGAGTCATGTGTCATATAAAGATCGAAGCAACCATAACAGTCACTGGTTTTGATAGATACACAAAAAAGGCATACTTGGGGCCATGGCTGCTGTTGTTGCAGATGAAGGAAGCGACCCGTCGAACTGTTCGCGTGTGCGATTTGGTCAAGGTATACTAACATTAAACATGGACACAATGAGCCTGGATGGGACAGTGAGAAAGTACAGATCTCCGATCGTTATCTTCTTTTGAATTGATTTCTCGAGTTCCTGTGCAAGATGTGTGTGCTCAACGTCAGTCACTGGGACACGTGCTCGCTCTTGACTGACCCGGTTGACGTCCTGTTTTGCGGACACGTGCCGTTGGACTCATGTGCCCAAACCGCTAACTCCCTTAGCCTAAACGCTGCGCTGGGACGATTTATCGACCGACCCCTGAAATCCTCCACCCCATTGTAGGCAAGTATGATTCTATGACAGTCCGAATAGAATTCCTCATTTGTATGACAGTCCAAAGATGTCCGAATCCTGGGGAATTCTATGCCTTGGTCGCCGGTTGAATCCACGGTGAGGACTAAAAGGAATGGACGTGGAGAAGGAGATCCAGATCTTCTTGTCGGCACATCCCGCGGTTTCAGCTCAGCTGATCGAAGGCGCTGGTGGCGCCGTTCGTGGTTGGGCTGCTCCGGTCTGCGTTGTTTGCCTGCCAGCCGAACCGGCAAAACTGGGATGGAGGAACCTCCCAGCTTCGACATGCTCCATCCGAAATCCCTTGCACCACTAATCGCGCGGTGAGTCGACTGGACGTGTCGTGAGGACGCGCTCTTTTCTTGAGGCCTGGAAGACTCCTTGCATGAGGTCTGCGAGAAGCGTGGCTTGGGCGGTCTGAGGAAGGCCTTGCGCGAGATCTTGGGGAGCCTCGGCACAGGTCACCGGTGGAACCACCGGTCTCTCCCACCGGGTGTCGAAGTTGGAACAAGGCACGATGTCAAAGGCCGGAAGGGAGTCGATCCGCGCGGCTTGGTTAACAAACCACGAGTTGTTGACAGAAGGGCCTTTCTAAGTGTCTATATACATATATATACGTGGTGAACTCGATCGGTACTTCTTGGCCACTTTACAGTAATTCATGTGTTTTGATGTATTTTGTCATTGTGCTGTCAGGGTTCTTTTCAGGAAAACACTGTGAGACAACCTCCTTCGTTGGTCTTCAACATGCAGCAAATCCATGCCCAAGCCGTGAGCCGCACTGTTCCTGCCTGCTCCAGCCGCTGCCGCTGCCGGTGCCTGACACGATGCGCGTCAGCACTGTGTCGGGCCAGACCATCATGCGACTGGAGGAGGAGGAGCTTGACGAGATGGTGAAAGGTGGCGAAACGATCGCGGGACTCAAAAAGCGCCTGGCGACGCAGGTGGGATTTTCCCGCTTTCGCCTCAGACTCTTGGGCCAAAAAGCCGGCGAGTTGCAGAATCACTGGCTGATGGATGAAGTTGAGTTCGATCTCCAGTTGGTGGTTTTGAGCTTATGTCCAAGTGACAGGCTGATAGACTCGGAGTTCATCTCTGCCTGCTCGGAAAATCGCTGCAAGGACGTTGAATGTGCACTTCAGAGACCACAAGACCCAGATACCCGACATCCAGAAAATGGCAAGTCGGCACTTGAAAGTGCAGCTGTTAATGGTCACTTGGAAGTGGTGCGATTGCTAGTCGCAGCTGGAGCCAACAAGGATGCACAAGATAACACAGGTTTAGCAGCATTGCATTTGGCAACCAAGAACTGCCGGTTGGAAGTGGTGCAATTCTTAGTTGATGCTGGAGCAGACAAAGACGTAGCAGAGGAAGAAGGCCTGACTCCTTTGCACATAGCATCCTATGAGGGATACTTGGACTTGGTGCACTTTTTGGTCGGGGCTGGAGCAAGCAAGAATGCAGCTGACAAAGATGGTTGGACGGCGTTGCATTTGGCGGTACACAAGAGCCACCTAGAAGTGCTTCACTCTTTGGTAGAGGCTGGAGTCAACGTGAATGTAGCTGATCGTAATGGCATGACTGCTCTACATTTGGCGGCAAAGAACCGCCACATAGAGGTGGCACGTTTGTTGGTGCGGGCCGGAGCCAACACCAATGCAGCAGAGGAAGGTGGTATGATGACCCCTTTGCACAAGGCAGCGTTTGAGGGCTGCACAGAACTAGTGCGTTTTTTTGCTTCAGGCTGGGGCCAGGAAGGATGCTACAGACAAAGATGGTTGGACCGCTTTGCACTTGGCAGCACACAAAGGCCACATGGAAGTGTTGCGATGCTTGGTCGAAGCTGGAGCTGACAAGGATGTAGCAGACGAGAATGGTAGGACTGCTTTGTACCTGGCTGCATGGAGCTGCCGCATGGCGGCAATGCAATTTCTAGTTCAGGCTGGAGCCAACAAGGATGCAGCTGAGGAAGATGGCCTGACCCCTTTGCACATGGCATCATATAAGGGCTACCTGGACTCTGTGCGCCTTTTGGTTGAAGCTGGAGCAGACAAGGATGCAGCAGATAAAGATGGTTGGACCGCTTTGCATTTTGCTGCACAGAAAGGCCACTTGGAAGTGTTGCACTTTTTGGTTGAGGCTGGAGCCAACAGATATGCAGTAGACGAGAATGGCAAAACGGCTTTGGACTATGCTACTGCAGCTCCAGCAAGCAGTTTAGAAGCCGTCCAGTGCTTGGCCGGGGCCGAGTTGGCCGATTCTTTTTCGGCGAAGCGGAGGCGCTTCTGAGGGCCAAACGGTGCCAAGTCAAGACCTCGAGCGGCTGCCACTCTTTTTCAGGATCCATTCTCCCAAAACTGCATGCTTCGACCTACTGCTTGTAACATCTTATGACCCCACGTGCCATCAGACGTTCAATCCGGTGAACACTGGAGATTCGGAGATTCGGCCTTGGACTTCAGATTGGCGTCTGCATCATCCAGAAAAGGTGAGTTGGCTCCCAGTTTGACGCTTCAAACAGTGAAGTGAGTGAAGGTCTCAACATGTTTTAGGCTTAGATCAAGGTGATTTGGATCAGGGGCACCCCGGCTTCCATTCGTTCTGCACCTCCGTCAAAAACTTGTGACTCCGGAAGGACTCCTGTGTTTCTTTAGGACTCCATCTGTAGCACTGGTGCACTCTTTCGCCCGGAAAACCCCCTCCAAACATCCTTCTTCTCCCTCTAAACATCCCCACGCCTTGAACTTCCTCCCCCCACAACGGCTCATGGACCCGCTGCTAAGCTGCTGAGTCACAGCTTCCCGTGTTCTTCCCCAACTCCAACGCCCCAGTCCGCCCAGTCCGCCAGCTCCGCCGGTCCTCGCTTCCGACAGCGCGCGTCCTTCGCGCCGTCCGAAGCGCCGTGCCTGGACTGTTCTCGTCCCGAGGAAGGCGGACCTCACCGGGACGGATCCGCGCCGCGGCGGAAACCATGGCTGTCGGGGGAGGCAGAGGTGGAACATCCGCGAGTTAGACCGAACGAAGGGCGGGTTTGGGGGGGTTTGCTGGGTCGGTGTTTGGGTGGTTGGCCCAAACATGAGGTTGGCTGATGCACATGAGGTTGGCTGGTTTGCTTCAATCCAGCTTTGGTGGCTGAATCATCACCCTCGGCACCTTGCAGCACCCCTGGAAACTGGAAATGCAATGACAAAATCATACAGAATCAGAAAATCTTGGTCAAGGACAGGCATGCATAGGCAACTGTTTTTTGCGACTTCTGTAGGTGTGTGCAAGAATGGCAGACATCAGGACCTGGATTGATTCTTTTGATCTTGGCCTGAAAAGGCTGACCCTGCCTGGCCCTGCATTAGGCAAGGTGTGGCTTTACTTTTCACCGTCTGAGCCAATAAGTCAATAAGTTCGTTTGAGCCAATCCCCAGACTGACCTGGAAGCCCAAACAACCAGAAACAGTTCTGAATGTTTCCCCAGTCCCATTGAAAGGCGTCAAAGC